GTTGATGAACTGAAATAGTGAAGTGACGTCAGACTTGAGTTCAGATAAAGTGAACTATCACTGGAGGATCGCAAATTTGAAGAAACGCAGTGCCTGCGGATCGGCGGTTCGACTTCCACGGTTAAATCAGGTTACACATGTCCACACTACTCCACACTACTCACATGCACATACTTAACGCCTGACCGCGCCTTGGGGTCGGTTCTCGATTCGGAACCAGATACGTACTATTTATTTACCTAGCCTTATATCTATTGTGTAGAATAATTCTCCATAGGCATTTTGAGCCCCACCCTTAGTTGTCCGTCGAATCTACAGCTGTATGGGCCCCTATATGGTCGACCTTTGTCGGGGCAACTAGGGGCGTGTACAGTTTATAATCCGTAATAAAATAAATGACGACTCCGTAGCGGAGTAGTTAAGTATTTGCCTGCGGTACTGCAGGACCGCGGGTTCGGTCCTGAACGGGCATTTTTTGGAAAAGAGCCGCCCATGAACAACTGCAATACCAGATGTTGGTTTTTTGACTTCTTTTTTGAGGTTGTTTTACTTCTAAACTACGATTGATGCTCATTCCTTTTTTAATAGTACTATGAACTAATAAAGGGCAGACGATCACGCTTACAATTCTACCATTAACAGAGTATTTAGGTACATCCCGAGATGACAAATTGTTTCTTAGGCTTGACAAAAACTGTTTATCACAATATTGCTATCAACATACTCTCTCTCTCTCTCTCTTGTTCTATCTGCAACCGCTCAAATGCTTGCCGCTCCATAAATACGAACATTGGCTACAGCAATAATTTTAACGGTATATCGATTTCCGAAATGGCTTTTCCTAATTAGTATTAAAGAAGATTGCTTGTCTGTAGTCTTATAAGCAGCGACATGCGAATGCTCAATGTCTGACTGTCAGCAACATGACACGTGACTAGCGTTTACTCCATCAACAGATAAGTTTAGGGCGAAACTCCCACACTACTTATATTTCAAAATTCCTCAGTAATGTGGATTCACTATCAGGTAACAGTACCGGACAGAAGACATTCGACTTCCTTATAAATATCATTAAGGCTGCGGTCACGAAATTAGCGACGGTCGTGCGATGGCGGTTGCGGGTTGGCGCGATGCGACAGTGACGTAAACAAAACCATAATTTTTAATTTAAGCATGAAATGGGCGAGAGCGGCGCGGGGCGATCGAGTGATGCACGGGCGGTGGCGGAGCAATGGCGGCGTAGAAGCAACAGGAACAGGAACAAACTATTTTGAGTTCACCGTTTGCTCGAGTATGTAGGATTGTATTTTTATTTATAATTTTAATAATGGAAGATGATAACGATTTCCAAGGACAACATATTCCAAATTGATTCTCTAAATTATAATCAAATGTGTCTATACTTATTCTTGTATAGTTATAAAATCTGTTTGAATGACACCTTAATTCATAATAAAGGGTAGAACTTTTGTCCAAACTACTTCTCTCTTGATTTATTGAATGAACAATATCTTTAGGTAATAACGATTCCGCTCTCATTAGAAGACTAGGCTCCAATACTTTTTCTTCGAAGTAAACTTATGTTTCTTACAACACTACTTTAGCGCGATTGACTGAGTGCGTGCCCACGAAGCCCATGCTAGATACAAGCGACGGGTCGTTGACGGTTTTCCGTTAACGAAACGTTAACGTTAATTTACCTTTGTCAACTAGTTAATCAACTAGTTGAATTCGTAAACGAGTTAACGTACTACTGATGTCAACTTGCAACGTAAACCGTTAATTCATTGAACGGTTTTAATTCAACGCTACGACGTTCAATTTCAGAAACAATTTGATTCGATGTATGTATTGGAAAACGTTTGATTGATGGTTCTACTTAGATGACCTTCCCTTCATACTTCTTCTTTAGGCGTAGGACTGATTGAATACAATTAGCTATAAGCCATATTCTACTCAGGCGTATTTAAAAGATCATCTGATTCTATGTGCGCAAATCAATTATTATTTACAATCTTTTTATAGTTTTTTTTTTAATATTTTTTTTTGTTTTTTCTTTCATTTTTTTCGAAATGCAACCACAATTAACTGTTACCCCAGTACGTCCCGACATTTTCAATTTTGCACCTTAAGTAGTCCTATTTTATGTAAATATACACAATTATATTAACGCAAACAAATTTACACTGTTACTATAAACATTAACTAAAAAGTCTAAACTCTAAACATTTACGATATGCCGTCAAATACCTGAATGAAGTTCTGATCTTCCGCGCAACTTGTCACAAACTGTCAATCAAAAAATTAAAGAAAGCGAACTTGTATTAACCTATTTTTCTCGGACGGCACGAGCGGGCGGCGCCACTCCACCAATATCGTCATAAGTACTATTCTTAAAATACATATTTCCAAAATAAACTCTTTTGTAGGTTACTTAGAGTTCAAATTGTATGACATGACCACCGCTCGCAATCTATGACGTTATTTTCAACGTAGGTTTTTTAATTTGCTCAGTTCGTTGCGTTAACGAGACGCACGAGTTTATTTCATAAATGTAGTTGACGAATTCAGCTAGTTGATACATAAACGGTAAACGTTAATACGTTGACAGGAGATCAACGGTCGATTCAACTAGTTCGTTGATTCAAGGCTCATCGCTACCGCGGCCCGCGGTAACCCGCGGCCGCTATCGCTCGGCCGCCGCTAATTTCATGCCCGTAGCCATAGAGTCATTTACAAAAATATGTTTAAAAAACTTAGAGGTCGGGTTTGAGTTGGATATGCGCATGCTTTTATGAACTGTCTTGCCTTTATCGTCTTTAATCATAGAAATACAATTTTCTCTTTTATGCCACTTCTAGAGGTCGTCTAGAGTTTAGACCATCGAATGGGTAGTTGACAATGAGGGTAGACTGAATCACAGCCTTACTATTTTTTTCATATTAATTCCCGATGTAGTGGCGGGTAAGAATACCCACTACCACATATCTAGCCGTGAGTTTTGTAAGAGACGACAGAGAGAAACTGAGGCTGAAGATGGGCAGCAGTATCTTTCTCATAACAGCAAACTAATAAAAGAACTGGGGTTGCCAAGTGTGGCAACTATCGCAATATACCTCCCATGGAGAGAGTTACAAAGAGACGGCCCCCAGTCCAGTAACAGGTAACCCAATTCGCAAGTGGGAAACCCGACGCCGGAGATTATATGAAGCCGTCCTTCACCTTCCTCCCCTGATGAGGTGTTGGTGGTTATCCTTAGTCTTATACCCTAGGCCTCGAAGTGGCGCGTACGGCGTGTTTTCCGTGAACACCTATATCAAGAAGGAGTGGAAAACAATAGCTCCACTCCCTCATCGAGAAGGAGTTTGTAAGAGCAACTTCGGGGCTGCTATAGTGTGCGAAAACGTTCCCGTAGCCCCGGCAAAGGGCGAATGATGGACACCGTGGGGTTTGACTGATAGGAATCCGGTATAACGTGCCTATCGCCCTCGCCTTAGACAGGTGTTCATAAGAATTTACTCGTGTACAAAAAATAAGAGGAGTCTGACTAAACTCGTATGAGGGATCTGGTGAATAAATGAAAGACTTCTTATGTAAAGTATCAATTTAATCTAGAAATATTGATACAAAAAATCACATTGTTAAAACTTTGGTATAAATTAACTTTCTTCTTTGAATAGTAGCATAAGCAAACACAATCGATAAAAATAGTAGTCTTCGATACCAATATAAAATAATTATATCAGTACAGTAGAAAGAGATTGCGAGACGAATTTATTTTATAGTATTTAGTATGACTTTATACAAAAATCATCGATATACATATGTACGTAGTACATATAACTCAATGACAAAAATAAATAGGGCCAATAGATAAATTCCATGCTTGCCCTTTTACCGTTATATAATTTTATTTAGGTAGGTATTTCAATTAAATGTTAATTATTTTTTAATAATTCAAAATTTAACCATATTATTAACAATTTATATTTTATACAACCAAGTTATAATAAGAAGAATATAACGAGAATACTCTTGTAGAGTAAGTATTCTTGTTATATTATACTTATTTAATTGTGTTTATTTAAATACATAAAATTATCAGATAATTTAGCTATTTATAATTTGGGATAGTATACCACAAGTACGAAAACATCATCATTTATTATATTTTAAATAATTCTTCTACATTTGTGCTACTATGCCGAATGATGTATAATGTACTTGGATATTCATCACTATCTCTACCTTACATTTTTCACACGGATTTTCATCTTTTGAGAAAAGGCGACAAATCTCGGCATAATTTCCATTTCGTAAAAATGTTTTCTGAAATATTATTTGCTGTAAATTGTTTACTTTTCTAATGAACTAATATTATACTATTAGGATCCCTATTTTATTATGTCTCTTTATTCGTGCGGACATAATCTGGCGTAATGTTACTTTAGTAACGATTACAAATTGAAATTGAGACGATAATTCAGGATAAAATTTAAATTTACTTATTGGCATTGTTATAATATATAAGATGTACATAAGTTGTCTTTAAAAAGTATATTACATATTAATATTGGAATAAATGGGGTAAAAAATCATTTTCGTAATGTGAATTTTGAAACTTAATGGATTACTATAGATATTTAAAATATTACAAAATCAACTGGATTAAACCATAAATATTGAAAGTGTTAAATTGATCAGGTACCTCGTTCCCATTCATCTTTATAAATTGATTGATATCTATTAGGAAAATAATCAGAAGCAATGACCATAACTAACATACATATTATCATAGACATAGTAATCCTCCATCTACGCATATTATCAAAATTTTATTTTAAATTCATCCAATCTTTCTAAAGAGGTTTTGATGTTATTTCCTTACTAGCAATTTTTTACTAAGGGGAAGAGGTACTGTCTCAAACACATATTTAATAATCTATGAGGTACTTGAACGTGACGCTACTCTATACATTGCACTTGAAGTCTATTTTATTTTATACATCTATAATACTGTCGTGCTTTTTATCGGAAGCTTTGAGTTTCTCTTGCATTTGTGTTAACATGTCTTGCATGCGACGAATCTGAAATATTCATTGGTATTTATTAGTTGCATAACAATTTTAGCGTGTTTCATATTGAAGGGATAAAGTGGTAGTATTTTCTGATTTATTACCTACAAATAACTTAACTAATGGTAAAATAAAGGAGTTTTCTTCCTCTAATCCGTTGTACTATAGCTGCTAATTGGACTAGCAGTATGGTAATTGGTAATAAAAATTTGCTATTAAATATGTATGTTTAACTATTACGGTGCAACGTGACACTGAACAATTTATATATTAACTAGCTGGCCAGGCTGACGTTGTTCTGCCCTTTTCGACGACTCTTCTGAAATCTCAAAAAAATTTTGAGAGTCACTTAGCGGGATAAAAACTATCCTATCTCTCAAGTTGAACCGAACTGTACAGTGTGCAAATTTCATTGAAATCAGTTCAGTAGTTTATGAGTTCATCGCGGACAAATAACGTGACACGTAATATTTATATATTAAGATAATACTATAAGTTCACTACACGAATCGACACCCTCCAAGACTTTCTTTAGCGGTTTTTCTGTTTACATACACACGCGTGCGCTATAACCTATAATCCTGTTTTGCGCAGATGGCTAGTCACCGTTGAAACGGACCGCCGTGATCGATTCGGTCTGGAGGACATAATTACATATCATTAAATGAATCGGGTTTCCCACGACACTCGATTTAGCACCAGAGGCATTATTGTGAACTTCTCCCGGATAAGCCTCAAAACTAGAACAAATCCGGGAAAACCAGAATGATGTCATTCCTACCCCTATCAGTATTAACGTATAAAATTTATATTGGCGTTACACTTATATGTAGTATGTAACAAACAATCCGGTGATCTTGTAGGGACGTATAGATGTACATTTTATAGGCTTGTCATTTATGATAATATTTTGAAATATTAATAAACCTACATACAATTTACAAATCAAAATTTATTTAAATTTAATTTGATTATTTTATGGTTGAGTTTTCTGAAGTAAAGTTATTTCCATACGTTTGATTTGAATACTCATTTTGATAACGCACTTAACGGAAACCGCAGGGTTTTTAATACATGTAAAATTTATTAAAACTGTTCAGCCTTACCTCTTCATCTTTTTGTAATAATAAACGATCGGTGTCCGTTATCACTACGTCATTGTTGTTGCCCATTGAATCCCTTTTCAGTTTTCTGTTGATAGGAAAAAAAATATTTTGTTGTAATTGATAGAATCAGGCGGACGTTTCGCAGTAGTTTGTTGTTAATTTAACAGCAAATATCGGTGTACGTCAGGCGGTGATTGATCGCATGACGTAATCGCTCGCTACGTAATTGGAGCGTGGTTGCGTCAGCAAGTAGTATAAATAGCAGTAGTTTCGGCTCGCCGTTCAATTAGTGGCCAGCCTCCGCAGAGTCTACTTCACCTGAGGATGCCTCGTGTAGAGGCGAAACACGTGTCGTATTATCGAGTGTGGTGTGTCGTGCCTAGTGTGGTGGTGCTGGGGGTGGTAGTGCTGGGATTAACGACGATGGGTATAGTGCGCGCGATTCAGGGAGGATGGGAGGACAAAAAGAGACACAGCCACAATGTATTAGGACAGGAAGAGTGGTGCTGATAAATCATTCTAATCCTTTGCTGTATGCATTATAATGAAGTAAAGCGAATACTTTAGCCGAATACTTGGTATATCCACATAAGCAAAGACACATATATCCACGGAAGCCTGATGTGCGTCTTGCTGTCCGAAGATGAAAAGGAGATGAGGTAATTAAATAATGCAATTCCTGTGCATACTTTCCATAAGGTACCCTGTAGATAGGATTGCCAACCATTCTGTTAAAAGCAGTATCATACTTGATTTCGCTCTTTTATACTTTTCTTTTAAAAATAAGTATAAAAAATACTGTTTGTATGATCCCTGTTATATAGAGCCATAAAAACTAAAATTGTTTCATTCATTTCATTTAAATTCTACTTAAATCGTGGAGAGGCTTACGAATATTATAAAAATGCTAGTAAATTTTGTTTAATTTTGCAAGAAGCTCCAAAAGAATGTTTTGAGGACTTCAAAAAAAAAAAACCTTTTGTTTTTCTAAAGTATTGTTTATTTTTCTAAAATACTGTTTTTTTTTAGCTCTCTGACCTTAATATACTTTACTTATCATATAAAATTTGGCAACCCTACCTGTAGATTACCGTGAGATTGACTATCTTTCGTCTGAACTCGAATCATATGAAAGCCACTAATATCGGGGTCTGCTGCTGCTATAGTTAGTATTTTGCAGCTCCAGGCGTTAAATGACAGCAGTAGGTACTCCAAAGCCGATCGGACCCGAGCTATGTACAAATTCAACAGCTGTTCCGGCGTAAAGTACGGGGGGCACACTGAAATGATCGGGAATAAGAAAAACCACATGCACGGTATAGCTAAATTGTATTTTATTGTTTTTCGAAGTATTCTCCGTTCAACTTAATGCACTTTTCCATTCGTGCAAACCAATCATTAAAACAGTAATTCCAGTCTGAAGTTGATGGTGACAAAATGGCTGATTTGTTCGCTTCCACAGCTACTTCGGGGTCTTCAAACCGTTGACCGCGTAATAAATCTTTCATTCTAGGGAATGTAAAGAAGTCGTTTGGGCTCAGGTCAGGACTGTACAGAGGATGGCTCATCAGCTCAACGCTTTCCTACTTCAAAAAATCTTCTGTCTTCCGAGCCGTATGGGAGCTCGCATTATCGTGATGTAAGATGATGCGACGTTTCGGGTTATTTTTTCGGAGTTTGGCTATCATTTCTGGCAAACAAACCGTGATTTACCACTCAGCGGTAACCGTCCTGCGTTCTTGTAAAGGAATTGTAGCAACATGCCCCTTTTCCGAGACAAACGTAGCGACCATTTTCTTTTATACGCTGCGGGAGCGAACCACTTTCGTTGGTTCGACCTCGTCTTCGAAGATCCAAACTGCTGACTGATGTTTTCTTTCAGGTTCTTATGAATAAATTCATGATTCGTCACCTGAGACGATATTATAAACGGCATATGACTTCCCTCCGTTGAAGCGTGCAGAGTATTCCGGCACCAATCTACACGAGCCGCCTTTTGGTCTTCGGACAAATTGTGGGGAACCCAGCGGGAAACTAGCTTTCTTACACACAGCTCATTATGTAATATCGACTGAATTGCAGTCATTCCGATACTGATAAAAGCCCGAATCTGCTCGTATGCAATGAGTTATATGTACTACGTACTAGAGAAGCCATTCTAAACAAAAAATGTGCACTACTCTATGTCTTCGCGCATGCGCAGGAGATAGTAGAGTCGCGCATGCGCAGTTGATTTAAGCGCGTTGCGCCTGCGCAGTTAGTTTTTAATTTAAACATTAATTTGAAATCTTGTATTATTAGCGCCGATCCACACTACATGTATATTGAAACCACAGACTAACTAGTAGATTGAAACCACACTAAACGACACGCTGTATGGATTGCGGAATGCGATATCTAGTACGTAGTACATACATATGCTCGTATGTCACATGACGGTCATCTAATATAATAGTTCGCACAGATGCGATGTTTTCAGGCGTGACCGCTGTTCTTGGTCGACCTTTTTTTTATAGAATAAGGGTGAATAACGAGCACACAGTCCACCGGATGGTAAGTGGTTGCTGTGGCCCATATACATCTACATTTATCCTCGATTACGAATCAAAATGTAGATGCGTTGTGACCCATGAGGACTAAGATGGAATGCCTCGTTTCCAGTAAAAAGGGTCTCCGGTTCTCTACACTCACCATACGAAACACAGCAGCATTAAGCTGCTATTTTACGCTAGTATTCTGTGAGAGCGTCGTCCTTCCCCGGTCGAGCCGACCTATTCGTGTTACAACTATACCAGAAATATAGCTGCAGCATGGCTCTACCACGTATTGCAGCATGGCTCTACCATGGCTCTACGACCTGCAGAAGAAACAGTGCTGAGCGAGACACGACTGCGTCGGAACTTGGCATACCAGCGGTATATTGTCGTGTGACTCGGTGCTTCAACATCATAAATCGAAACAAGTTCGCTGAGAGATTTATCTTGAGGTAAGCCGCGACGAAAATTGTGATAAATTATGGCACGGAAATGTTCACGCGTGAACTCCATTTCTGTTAACGACGTGTCAACTTTAAACCAACATAGTTTTTGTTTTTAAACATTTTTTAAAATTGTTTGAATCCCATTAAGATTCTAAGAGGCCAGTATTCAAACTCTAAAAAAGGTTTTATTGTAACTCAATCCGAATTTAGAATATTTTAAATATTCTATTCCCGATCATTTCAGTGTGCCCCTCGTATTGGTGCACTTTCACAAGAACTTCCGGCTTCCTTTCGGCTATTTGCATCCTAGACTCAATAAACCTTCTAAAGTTGAGTTTCGTTCAGATCTCGCCTTCTAATAACTGACGATAGTCGATGTATTTCAAAGATACATATTTAATAGTAGTAGCTAGGGTGAACGTGCTCCGAGCGTTGTGCAGTATACATACTATACTCGTAATATCATAATTATTACAGCCTATCACAAGTCCACTGTTGAACGTAGGCCTCCCGCAAGGAACGCCACAAGCACGGTCCTGAGCCACTTGCATACATCGACTTCCTGAATTTCTTATCAAGTAGTCATTGCATATAGTGGGTAGTGGGAGGCCGCCCTACACTCCCTTTAACGGTACGAAACTGCCACAAAATTATCATTTCCATAGCTAGGAATAGCAAGGCCGCTGTGGACTAAGGGCCGTATGTCGTTGCTCGAGCGGGTCGTGCGCTGTTTTATTATACCTACTAGTTATTAGGAAGACGCTGCTGCCCATCTCATGTCTTGTTTCCCTGTGTTGCCTTTTACGACACCCATGTGACGATATGGGCTAGTGGATATTCTAACACTGCAACTACACGGTAAATTTCAGTGTTTATATATTTAGGAAAAAATAAATTACCCAGTTCAATACGTACCCTCTCTCCCGCATAGCATGTTGAGATATCTGTGAGATGCACTGTGCTCTAAAGTTTTCGTAGTGAACGTCTTGCGTTACGTCCTTTAAGTCCTGCATGTGTGTCGAAATCAGCATAGTTCGTAATTTTGTAAAGTCGGAATGCCTTGGGTTTTCCACTGTTAAAGAATACAAAAATACGTAAATTTCCTTTATATGCCTTTTGATTACATTACAATGAAATTTGCCGCTGTTGTAAATTGGTGATAACCTATTGAAGAGCTTATTTTACTTCGACTGAAGTAGCACAGATAATTACAGAAATCAATTAGTTTAAAAAATGTGTTTAATTCTACGTGGATGCAATATAGATGTACAAACATCATCATCACAACGTTTTATCCAAATGGCAATACTCTTTTATAAAAATAAGGATGATAAACGAGCACACGGTGCAACTGATGGTAAGTTTTTTTAAATATAGGGTCAGGGTGACAAACGAGCACAGACACAGCTGTGGCCCGTAGACATCTACGTCTATCCTCGACTACAAATCAAAATGCGGATGCGTTGTCACCTGTGAGGACTAAGATGGAATGTCTCGTTTTCAGTAAAAGGGGTCTCCGGTTTTCTAAGCAGCTATTTTACGCTGGTATTCTGTGAGAGCGTGGTCCTTCCCCGGTCGAGCCGACCCATTCGTGCTACAACTATGCCAGAAATATAACTACAGAATGGCTCTACCACGTTAATTGAATACGTTCAATCACGTTGTTGTGGGCGCTTCCGCAAATGCTTCTGATAAACTAGTGGTAAAAAACTAAAGATATCTAATAATTCCATTGAGTTATATGTACTACGTACTAGAGAAGCACATTCTAAACAAAAAATGTGCACTACTCTATGTCTTCGCGCTTGCGCGGGAGATAGTAGAGTCGCGCATGCGCAGTCGGTTTTTAATTTAAACTTTAATTGAAATCTTGTATTATTAGCGCCGCTTCACACTGCATGTATATTGAAACCACAGACTAACTAGTAGATTGAAACTACACTAAATGACACACTGTACGGATTGAAGTATAGTTCAGTTGAACATAGTGTATGTTCGGAATGCGATATCTAGTACATATTTACTGTACTGTCAGAAATGAGAGGAGGCCTGTGCCTGTGTCAAGTTGTGGGACGTATATATGCTTACTCACCGTCAACGATTCCCCAGGGGTACTGGCGGCCGCGGACACGTCTGCCGCCCACCTCCAGTACAGTGTCGGCTGCTACTACTGCGAATGGCACAGCAGCCTTTAACTCCCGATCCTGTTGTTTGAATTCTTCGTCTTCATCGCTGTCACACTCCGGAAACTGGTATACCTGTTTAAAGTACGACTTATCACTTTTAATTTTTATTGAATTGGGTTTAAGTAAAACTGTTGAACATTAGATGCATATTTAAGTGGTAGAGCCATGTTGCAGCTATATTAGTAGTATAGTTGTAGCACGAATGGGTCGGCTCGACCGGGGAAGGACCAAGCTCTCACAGAATACCAACGTAAAATAGAAGCATAACGCTGCTGTGTTTCGTATGGTGAGTGTAGAGAACCGGAGACCCTTTTTTACTGGAAATGAGGCATTCCATCTTGGTCCTCACGGGTGACAACGCATCTGCATTTTAATTCGTAATCGAGAATAGATGTAGATGTCTATGGGTCACAGCAACCACTTACCATCAGGTGGACTGTGTGCTCGTTTGTCACCCTTATTCTATAAAAAAAAATACAAAATTGCAGTTTCCAACCCGCCTCCCTAGCGTGGCTACAATTGCAAAATCCTACTTGTGAGGTAGATGATGAGGAGGAGGAGGAGAGATGGATGGATGGATAAAAACAATTAAATGGAGAGACGACCTGGTAAGAGATGCAGAAAGTCAGTGCATGTAGGTGGCTCAGGACTGTGCTATGTGACATTTCTTGGAGGAGGCCTATGTTCAGAAGAGGACTAGTGATGGGCTCTAATGATGATGATGATGATGGTGGTGGTCATGATGATGATGATGATGTTTAAACATTATTAGAAGTCCAATCGACCATGCTTAGAAAAGCGTGATTTGAATCACCTAAGAATATTTTCGCCTATTAAAAATAATATAGGAGAACTAATTTGTGCAACTTTAGTATTTGGTAACGTGTCCTTGTGTAGTAACGTGCGATATGACTACCAAATATCAGGATGTTAATAGTGAAGAGACGTAATACAACATATTTTGAATAACAAAAACTAGATGTGTCCAATGTCAAAATGTATCGGTAGTATCTACTCGTAATTATAATTCTGTATTCAACGAGTGGCCGATAAATACGAGTATGAAGGAATAATTTTACGTATGTTAGAATTTCAGGCGAAGCAAGTTAAAATATATATTCCTGCTATTCTCTTTTAACAACTCTCATTGCTAGTTATTTTGATCTAAAAATTTAACATTACCAGAAATATGTAACTAAAGTGTCTCTGTAGGACTTTCACAATGACGAGTCTTGTCTATCAACATTTTTTTTTACTACACATACTAACTACATATATACAATTTATAAATTTCTAAAATAAAATTAGACTGATATTGTCACTGAAATAAAAAAAGATTCAGTTCTTTCCCAGTCAGAGCCTTTTTAAAAAGTGGTGATATAAGAAAAACATGACTCAATAGGTATTTAATACATGTGTGGAATAAAAATTATTTTATAATTAATAGAATCGGGCAACACTTCGCGGAAATCCATTATATTAAAATGTTAAAAAAATTATTAGCTAAGAGTCGCATAATAAAACAAAATGATATGTCTCCTAGTTTTAAGAGCACCTCCCGCCCTTCCTCAATTGTGTGCATTATCCCCGTCACCATTAATCCCAACACCACTACATTTAATACTACTACACCCAGCACCACTATCCACTACACTAGGAGAGACACACCACCGTCGATAATATGACCCGTGTAAGCCAAACACACACTTAAAGGGGGCATCATGAGGTGAAATTGACTCTCCGGTGGCTGAACGCTAATTATTCAGTCAAATATTAGGTCTGGGTAGGTCTCTTAATTACATAATTTTTTTGAGGCAAATACTATGAAGTTTCTTACACTAATGAAATTAAATTATGATAGGCGTACATACATAAAAATATATGTATAGGCCCACTAAATCATTAATATTTCCCCAGTGCCAGCTCCTTCCACTTGACCGCATCCAGCGCAGAGCGGCTCGAATTGTCGACGACCGAGCCCTTTCCGATCGGCTCGATTCATTGGCACTGCTAAGAGATGTTGTATCCCTTTGCATTTCTTTCGCATCTACCATGGGGAGGGAATTGTTCGGATTAATCCCAGCCGCCAAATTTCACGAACGCACATCGCGGCAGAACTCCCGATACCATCCACACCATCTGGATGATTGGCGGTCCACCACTGTGCGATTTAGAAGATGTTTTCTTCCTCGCACGACTTCCTTGTGGAATCGATTACCATCAGCGATTTTTCCGGACCGATACGACTTAGGGACCTTCAAGAAAAGAGCGTACTCCTTTTTAAAAGGCCGGCAACGCATCTGCAATTCCCTCCCTGGTGTTGCAGTTGTTCATGGGCGGCGGTAGTCACTTACCATCAGGTGAGCCGCATGCTCGTTTGCCCCCTCTCCTATAAAAAAAAAGAATAAGTGAAAAGTTTACTTGTATTTGATGCTCTTCTAAGTCGTTAAGTATGCGTGCTTTAAGTCGCCTTACTTCGAGGACTGTAAGCGAATCTGCTTTAGCTATCACGACTACGATGTTCACCTTCCTGTGCAGTCGCCTCATCATCTCTAAGTCCACTTGTCTTAAACTGCAATATAAAACATAACTAAGTCGCAGCTCAAAACAATCTTGAGGAAACATTACCTGTCGTTGTGTCCTTAGTAGTGAGTGTTTCTTTAATTATGTCTGTGTTAATTTAAGTATTTATAAGTAACTTATATTGTTATATAGGAGTGTGAAACGATAAACTGTTGCGTTGCCGACAAACTGGCATACAGTTTGGCAAAGTTTGAAATGTAAATTATGTAACACTCTTTCTATGAATAAATAAATAAATAAAAAAAATAAAAAACAATTTAAAAATCAATCAGTTTTGCCGTTAAAAAGTTAGTATACGTTCAATTGCTATGGACATTAACCGATCGTGAGATGGTCCGATACCATTACTATCAATCAAATGAGGCGTATCTTCCAATGTGTTTGATAATTGAACTATTAGCGTAACGAGATTTTATTGAACTTGTAGTGATAAAATAAATTCTTCTGTTAACGACGAACGGGAACGTTAATAACGTGGACAAAATAATAATATTGGCCATAGACAGCGTTGTTTAGTTTGTTAAATACTAGGTATATTTATAAATGCTAAACACATAAAGCAACACGGGCCACAGACGTACAGGACTAGAAAAACTACGGAAAGGGCTATTCTCGTTATGGACATCATTTAAGATACTTAATTTAAAATTTAAAATTTTGTACAACCGACTTCAATATAAATTATTAAGAATATCTCAAAAACTATTGGTCAGATCTTGATCAAATTTATATGGAACCACATGTAAATCATTAGTTTTCAAATGAAAAACACATTGAAATCGGTTCACCCAGAAAAAGTACACATAAAAAAAATACAGTCGAATACCGTCGAGTACCGTCTTCTTTTTGAAGTCTGTAAAAAAGGCGAAGAAATTTGAAATAATTTTTATTTTTATTGGAAAGTAACTAGTTACCTGACTGACCTAGAAATAATTACATGACTGACCCATAAACGGGTTTACACTACTACTTCTTTATATTTTATAATTTTTTTTTTAATTTTCATACAATATTTGTTTTTCCTCGTATAATTCATTGATGTTCACCGTCGGAAAAATAGAAAATATTTCCATAGATATAGAGATAATTTTTTAAGTTTGGGATGAAAGTTGTCACTGGGACCAGATTTTTTTTTTTTTTTTTTTTTTTTTATAGGATAAGGGTGACAAACGAGCACACAGTCCACCTGATGGTAAGTGGTTGCTGCGGCCCATAGACATCTACATCTATCCTCTATTACAAATCAAAATGTAGATGCGTTGTCACCCGTGAGGACTAAGATGGAATGCCTCATTTCCAGTAAAAAGGGCCTCCGGCCACCTGCACTCACCGAGCGAAACGCAGAGGTAAACCTCTACTTCACGCTGGTTTTCTGTGAGGTCGTGGTACCACCCCGGTTCGAGCCGGCCCATCCGTGCGACTGCAAAAGCTGCCGCGTGGCTCTACCACTGTTAGCTACTATTAGTTCAAAAAGAATATAACCACTTCGTTTTAACTTTTGTAGAGTCCACAGAATAGAACCACAGAACACTATTATCTACTATTTATCGAGATTTGACCGAGGTCTTAGTATCGAGATGTCGCATTTTTGATCACAGAACACTAATACCCTTAGGCGCATATATTATTGTAGTTCTGTCTAGTTCTGCCAAACAGAGGTTACCTATGTCAAAAGGTATTTTTATGTTTTTTAAATAATTTGCATGGAGTACATACTTTAAATTTTTTTTTCTTTAAAATTGCAAAGTAATTTTATTAATGTTTAAAAATAGTACATTGTAAACGTGCATGAATATTTAACTCCTGCCTCAGTAGTTCTGAAAGGTTATGTTTATGTTGTAGTAATAAAGTTTTTTCTTTTTAAAATTATTATACTTGAAATGTCAATCACTCTCCTGCTTTTTTCGTTAATGATTTATCTATATATAAGTTTGTAGTAAGAACTTGCATATAGTATCATGATTTATCCAAAACTAAGAATCTATCAAGTAATTATTATGATTCTGTCAAGTCAATGACACAACGATTGTCGTCTATATGAGGGCACGTGTGCTTCCGCAATAAACGACGCTATCAGAAGCTCTGATCAACTTTGACCCACTGTATTCATCTTGACACGTTTGTTTATGTTCCAAATAAGCGGGACAAGCCAAATTGGTGATAGTTGGGCTACTATTTTTGTTTAACTTTGATGTTTGGCAGCAGATGTCTTATATTGCTACAAAGAAAAACTACTATATATTTACAAAAATGACACACATTTTCACTAAATTTGGCATGTGCTTGGCGGTTCTAGAAATTCTATCGACCCTCACAAAGTCAGTCAGTCTTTTATCTAAGAAATACGAGTATATATCTTTAGTAAGAATCAAAATGCAGCTGCGTTGTCACCTCTGGGGACTAAAATGGATTGCCACGTTTCCAGTAAATATACATGGTAGAGCCATGCTGCAGCTATATTAGTAGTATAGTTGTAGCACGAATGGGTCAGCTCGACCGAGGAAGGACCACGCTCTCACATAATACCAGCGTAAAATAGCAGCTTAACATTGCTGTGTTTCGTATGGTGAGTGTAGAGAACCGGAGACCCTTTTCACTGAAAAAGAGGCATTCAATCTTAGCTCTCACGGGTGACAACACATTTGCATTTTGATTATTTATTGAGGATAGATGCAGATGTCCATAAGTCATAGCAACCACTTGCCATCAAGTGGACTGTGTACTTGTTTGTCACCCTATGTTATAAAAATGGTCTCCGATTCTCTACCATCACCATACGAAATACAGCAGCATTAAAATGCGATTTTACGCTGATATTCTGTGACAGCATGGGCCTTCCCCGGTCGAGCCGATCCATTTGTTCTAGCATCATAATATAGTTGTAGCATGGCTCTACCACGTAACTACAATGTATATAATAATCATTATCAGCGTACGTTAGTCTCCTCCTAAACAAAATACCTAACTATATTATTGTGTATTGCACTCCAATATTGGATCATCAAATTTCTTACATTCGCCTTACACACATCACCGCGACATCTTTGAGGGTGACCCACATTTGTTATCAATCCTGCGACAGAGGTGGCCAACCCATAACTTTTTCAGCTCATTCACTTTGAGAGCTTTGTCGATTGCATTGCTTTTGCGAAACCAATAGTCACTAGAGTAATGAAGTATGTACAATAACTACATTAGACTAGTAGAACTACTTTCCGATTTCTTTTCGAAGTAAATAAAAATATATTATAGTTTTTATATAAGTACGGCGGGCATACAAGCACTCAGTGCCTCTGATGGTAAGGGGATACTATTGCCCATACATCGATCCTCGATGAAGTATCAAAATATGGATGCGTTGTCACCCCTCCACTAAAATGGAAAGCCTTGTTAGCAGTAAAAGTGTATCCAGTACTTGTCATTCACCACATGAAATAAAGCTGCTGCTTTATTTCATGTGGTGCATGTGCTTTATTTCAGTAGCATATTGCTATATGCTACTGCTGGGTTATTTTTTACAAACATGCTGCAGCCATAACAATAGTTTATCGTGGCTCTATCACACTTTATATTACGTTCAGTTGTGTTTACAATGTAGATCGACAAATTCTGTTTGGCATAAGTTGATGGTAGATTTGATCTATTGAGTCGATATCCTGAAGCGATACCTATATTTGCGGCCGAATGGCCTTTTGTCAAACATTCAACTTACATATGTACATATTTTCGATATCACTGTCAGTTTGTGCTGAATAATGTCAACCCGAAAAGATATAGCACGCAAGGTTGGTTTTGGGGGAGTAAGTAGTAAATTGGTAATGGACTGTAGTGATGTTGATGATATATAAATATTTTAATTTCAAAATTGCGTACCTATGAGCCCAGGGAGGGACGAAGTAGAGACAGCAGTGCACTCGATTGTCTTGCATATGTCTGCGGTTGAGTCCACTCTCGTCGGTGAAGTACTGTCGGAACTGCTCGTCGACGTATGCTGAGCAGACTCTCCACGAATCTTCGCAATTGATCGCGTCACCAAAGCCCGGCGTGTCTACTATAGTTAGCCGTAACTTAACGCCGCGTTCTTCTATTTCCATTGTTTTCTTTTCGATCGTTGTAGTCTTTTCTATTCTATCTATGAGTTGAGAAAATTTTGAAATTTAAATTATAGCCTATATACGTCGTCCTCCTGGGCACAGGCCTCTTATTGTTTTCGAGAGGTTTGGGTAAGGAAATGTCTGAAATTTTTTTAATTTCTCAGACATGCAAATTTTTCTCATGAAATTTTCCTTCACTGCCGAGTGCGTGGTACATCAGCACTTAAAGTTGCAATTAACAATTTCTTTAGGTGACGGCGGGGATCGGATCGAACCTAGGATGCTCATGTACTGTGGAATTTACAGCGAGCGCTTAGCACCTGAGCAACCACTACTCGTTAATTATATTTAGAAAATAAAAAAGTCGGTGTGCATTTAACCTTTAGGTTGTTAATCCAGTACTTTACCATGTGGTGGCAGCCTAAAAGACTCACAAAGGAGACATCACATTAAAAGGTCCCGTGGTTATAAAAGTAAACATAAATATTATAAAGATGTCGTCGCCTTCGATAGATACCGATATCGGATCTTATATGCCAGATCTAAAATACCCAGACCTGATGCTGCGAAACGTTAGGAACCGCGATCATCAATCCGCTCTCCAATCCTCCCTATTAAAGGAGAGGCCCATGTCTAGCTTTGGACTGTGACAAACGAATTTATAGTCTAGTCTAGCTAATGGTAAGTGGGAACTGTCAGCCCTTAACAACTACAGCCAAGTTTAAAAGAAGAAACTCACAACCTGTAACATCGATATGTATGTGCTACGTACTAGATTTCGCATTCCGAACATGCACTATGTTCAACTGAATTGTACTGCAATCCGTACAGTGTGTCATTTAGTGTGGTTTCAATCTACTAGTGCACATTTTTTGTTAAGAATGGCTTCTCTAGTACGTAGTACATATAACTGCAATGCCCTGTAATTACGCTGGCTCTCTATATACTTTAGCCTGGTAGATAGCAGTGCAGGCACTGCTATTGGGCGGCAGCCATTTCTCCAAGAGGGTGGTTCCTACCTAGATGGGTTCTAAGTTAGAAAAGCAGTCCTATCACCTAGTGAAAAAATATAACTAAATATCTTTTAAAAATGAGAGAAATTATACATCATATAAGTACATATTATGTATTTTTGACTAACCTTGTACGTCTGGTAATTTTCTGTTTTTGTACAGATCCCCTAAAAAAAGACTGTTGATCAGAGTTGACTTGCCGAGGCCGGACTCTCCAACTACCATAAGCGTGAAATCAAACCCTCTTTTCACAGACTTACGGTGAACTTGCTCGGGGAGAGTTGCGAAGCCGATGTAGTCACGCTCGCCACGATCTCTTTCTGTAGGCAATAAAAAAGAATATTTATCATTTTTCTTTGCGTATATCATCAATACTTTAGACGATTGATGAGCCAAATTGTCTTGCAGTATTTTCCGGGTCTCTAAATACAAGCTAGCAATGCAAGAAATATCGAATATCTTTTTTCTTCTTTTTGTCGGCCCACCTGTTTACCACCAGCGATTTTTCCGGACCGATACGTCTTAGGGACCTTCAAGAAAAGAGCCTATTCCTTTTTAAAAGGCCGGCAACGCATCTGGTTCCCCTGCTGTTGCGGTTGGTCATGGGCGTCGGTAGTCACTTACCATCAGGTGAGCCTCATGCTCATTTGCCACCTCTCGTATAAAAAAAAGCCCGTAGACAGCCCACCGTTGCATACGAAACTTTTCCTAAATAGGAAGGATTTGTCATAATCGCAAAGCTTTGTGTGCGCTTTGGTGAACACCGTACGAGACAGCTCTGTCTCGCCAGCAACGCAAAGTCATGAATTTGTATTTACAAAAGCCAAAATTAGGGGCTTTTTAGGTGCTAATTAGGTGCCAAGTTTAAAATGAAGTGCTCTAAAATTTTCACCGCAACGAACTGTTGAAATTTGCGTTGTTGGCAAAACGTATCGCTAGCAACGCAGTGACGATCATAGATATACGATAAATATTAATAGCAAGGAATTAAGTGCTAATTAAGTACTGCAAGTATAGGCAATGACAAGGCGCCCCTAATAAAAATAGTCTTTATTCAGAACAAAGCAATTGCAAAAATGAGGTCTTCTGAAAGTGGTAAAACTATAGACATCCGGTACTGGCTTACAGGTGTGCGCGGGGGGAGGGGAAGGGTTTTGGGTAAGCCTCCACCCCTTTCGGAAATATGTAGTTTATGTGTAATATATTTTTTTGTAAAATCATAACCGTTGCTCTCCCTTCGTGCCTACGGCTTACAAAAACACTCTAGAGGTAGGGCAGACAAGACTACGTGGAGTCGGGGCGTTCTGATTCGGTTTTAGTACAGATTCGACCTATCTTATGTATAATATATAACTGGTAAAGAACAAAAAATACCGATCATACCTTATAGCAATGTACCTAATAGTGTAGCACTTAATTCCTTGCTATTAATATTTATCATATATACATTATCGTAACTGCGTTGATAGCGATACGCTTTGCAAGCAACGCAAATTTTAACAGTTCGTTGCGGTGAAAATTTTAGAGCACTTTAATATTACTTTAGAGCATTTTAAATTTAGCAACTAATTAATAAATAAAAAGTCCCTAATTTTGGCTTTTCCTGAATGCAAATTTCTGACTTTGCGTTGCTAGCGAGACAGGACTGTACAAGACGTCTTGCACACTTTCTTGCGTCTTACCATCCTTGGTCTGTACTCTATATATTTCACATCTGGCATATATCAAAGATAGTTTTTTTTCTCTATCAACGACATTTTTCTAAGATTCATAGCCCTTATAAAGTCTTTAGCTTAGGCACTGACTAATAGAATGCAATCTATGATAATCACGCACACAATTAATGCTGTGGATCCGTTTATTCTATTCTTGTGGTATGTATGAGATATAAACTAAGCCAAATAAATAAATTAAGACAGTAAGTATGGGATTGCTATAACGATTTTGATGATCATTCAGACACAAAAGTATCTGCAAGATCTACAGTAATAAGCGTGTTAGTGCTACTTCAAATAGAGAACATTCTCGTATTTTAGTGATTTGTGTAGTTATAGAATAGCATAGAATTAACTAGGTATAAGTCACAACTAACAACTAAAAACACAGAATTATAATATGAAAAATGACACTTTAAAACTAATACGATTATGATCTTTGTGGCGCCAAATGGTGCGAACTCAGAACAATATTTCGGGTTGACCACAACATTGATTTTTATAATCATCATCATACACGGAATGCCACAAAGCACGGTCCTAAGCTATCTTGTCTACCACTGACTTCCTGCGTCTCTTACCAGGTCGTAATGGAACGCTCATTTTCACATGATACCAACTTGTTAATTATTATCTTTATATATAAAAATTACGTGTCACATTGTTTGTCCGCGATGAACTCCTAAACTATTGAACTGATTTCAATGAAATTTTGCACACTGTGTGCAGTTTGGTCCAACTTGAGAGATAGGACACTTTATTTATCCCGATAAGTGACCTTCAATATTTTTTTTATTGCGAATTTAAGCATTTTTTATATGAAGGATCGTCGAAAAGGGCAGTACAACGTCTGCCTGGCCAGCTAGTAAAATATAGATGTCACAGGCTCACTGAGTTTGAATCTCAATGATTTAGGTCTAATATTTGTGTGCAAGGATATGTCACGAAGATTGTGTAGTATGGAAGACACGATTTGTGTAACAAGAAATTTTTTGCCGATTCAAAAAGCAGGAGGAGAAGGGATTCGGGGCTTTAATTTTTCTATACACCATGTGTTAGCACCGATTTAAAAATATGAAATTATTATTTTTTTGTTCTTTGATGACGGTTTTTATATTTTATTATAATGTCATTGCATTCCTTTACTTTACACATTGCGATCGCCTATTTACCTGCCAAGCGTTCTGACTTCGGCGGCAAGTTGCAACAACTACTCAATACATAACCATGTTATCCTTATTTATGGCGGTGACAGTGGCATAACATGGCTAGCTGCCACTCGGGGCCGCTAGGGCCAAAATACCGTTCTCCCCATTTTCGACGTAGTTTAGAGTCATATAATCGGTGACAGTTTTCTATCTTCTTGTTATTATAAAACTAAAACACGTTCACTTAACCACACAGAAGTATATAGTTTTTTATTTATAGGATAAGGGTGACAAGCGACCACACAGTCCACACAGATGGTAAGTGGTTGCTGTGGCCCATAGACATCTACATCTATCAGAATAAATTCCAGATGCGTTGTCAGCCGTGAGAACTAAGATAGAACGCCTCTTTTTCAAGTAAAAAGAGAAACAGCAGCATTAAGCTGCTATTTACGCTGGTATTCTGGTCGTTCCCTGGTTGAGCCGACCCATTCGTGCTACAACTATACTTTTAATATAACTGTAGCATGGCTCTATCACGTGTATATTTAACAGTAAATTTTTAGATTTTGAGATTTTTACCGGCATCCTATATAGAGATAGCTAGCGATCCGCCCCGGCTTCGCCACCAATAACGCCACCGACCGGGTCCGATTGTGAATCTAAACCGTTCTCTAATCATATTCATATACACACAAAATTTCATCAAAATCGGTCAAGCCGTTTAGGGGTACTTCAGTCACATACACACTGACAGAAGAATGATATAATATGTAATATGCATGGATTATACATATAAAGCTTCCTCTTAAATCATTCTGTCTATTGATGAAAATCGCATCAAAATCCGTTGCGAGTTTAAAATATCTAAGCGTACAGAAGGCGGGAAGCGACTTTGTTTTATACTATGTAGAGCTTATGCAAAGAGTATGTAAGAGTATGCTACCCGCATCTCTTCTCTGGAGAAGAGATGCGGGGAGCATACTCTTACTCATCCTCATTATCAAAATGCCGTCCCCTAAAATCTGCCATATCTGCGTAAAGGTATTAAGTAATTTTAAAATATAATAGGTAGGTAGCATTAAAATGATTTTTATTAGGTAAATGTTACTGAAGTCGTTACATTACTTTATGATCAAATCACGTGTATGACTATGCTTTATTGTTTTTAATGTCTTGTTTTGTCACTTATGCATTAAATTAAAAAGTATGACATACAATTGCTGGCGAAAAATATAACTTATTTTGAATATAACTAATTTTACGGATTTTAACGCGTTAATTTAACTTATCTTTAGATCCCGACGGTTCGGGTACTTTATAGCACTCATGGTCACGGGGGGAACTGAGGTGTTTAACGTCTCAATGTCATAGTTAGCCCGGTCACCTTCAGTTTTTGAACATTAATTTTTAGTTACGATCTACGCAGAACGAGCTTAAAGTACTTGAAGTCTTGCAGTAGGTAGTATACTTGGATTCGGATTTATTTTTATTAATAAATAAATTACATACTTCCCGGAGTATTGGTGCTTCACGTCAGCTATATGTTCTTTTACCCGATATATTCTGTAGATCTTTTAGTTTGTCCTAAAAAGACAGAATGTTACGCGAGGCTATTGAAATTAAAAAAAAACATCCCCATATGAGCTGTAAAGCACCTGTAACGTCGGGATATTAAAATAAGTTAAATAACTAAAATTAAACACGATAAAATCAAGTATTCGTGTAAATATAAGAAATCATTATATACACTATTCTCTTTTATTACGGAACTAGATGTTCCCCGCGACTTCGCCCGCGTGTAATTTAGGGTATTAATTAGGTTGCGCGGAACCCTAATTCTTTTTCTAAAATATAAGTAGCCTAAGTTACTCCTTATAACATCAGCTAAAAGTCCCGTCATAATCGGTCCAGCCGTTTCGGAGATTAGCCGGAACAAACAGTCAGACAGACAGACACAATTTTTAAAAATTGTGTTTTTATTAGAAGTATACTTTCATATGCATTTGGAAAAAAGCTGTTATTTTGACATTACAAACAGACTTTTCAATTTTATTTATTTTTTGAGATATACAGAGTTACCGACTTGGGCTATCCAAAGGATTACTAAGTGGCAGTCTCGTATCGGCGGACGAAGTGTAGGGCGTCCCTACATTAAGTGGAGTGACGACCTGGTAAGACATGCAGGAAGTCGATGAATGCAGGTGGCTCAGGACCGTGCTTTATGGCATTCCTTGGTGGAGGCCTATGTTCAACAGTGGACTTGTGAAGGGCTGTAATGATGATGCTTATGATAATGATATATGTATAGATAACGAGGGAGGCAAATAACCTTTATCCAAGTACCCACTATAGCAAACGCGTTAACCTTTATTTTTTTTAATTTACAAATATTAGATAAACCAACGAGCTATAAGTTCATCATAAGGTAAGTTTTGCACTCCTTCGACACCTGCAGCCAATTTCAAACAAAGAAGTCCAATAGATGCTTTGTCACTCCTAAGATATAATAGCTCTCAGCATGTAATTATACTGACTCTCCTAACCTTTAAATTGGAACAGGGTAATGGATGCGCCGCAGCTTGGTGGCAGAAATAGATATGAGAGTGGTATCAACCTTAAAGGACTACAAATGAGCATTTTATATGTGATAGAGCTATGGTGCAGCTATATTAGTAATATAGTTGTAGCACGAATGAGTCGACTCGACAGGGGAACGACCAATAGCAGCTTAACACTTCTGTATTTGTATTTGCGTATGGTGAGTGTAGAGAATCGGAGACCCTTTTTACTTGAAGAGAGGCAGTCTATTTTAGTCTTCACGGGTGACAACGCATCTGCATTTTGATTCTTTATTGAGTATAGATGTAGATGTCTATGGGCCACAGCAACCACTTACCATCAGGTGGACTGTGTGCTCATTTGCCACACTATCCTATAAAAAATGAGATAAGAAGTCTAAGCCTGTAAGAGTAGTAACTAAAATAACAATATGGTTTATCAACAGAGATTTAGCAACAGAGGAATATGTAGTGACTTCCTGTTGTTAGAACAATTCAATTGCGCTCGCGTAATAACTTCCTTCGTCCTAAGTATCATCTATAAGACGTAGGAAAGCACGTAACAATGTGAATAATCTACATAGACGGTTACTCCGAGTTCCTATTGTCGAGGTTTATGCACCGAGAGCACGATTATTGCAATGCAAGCAGCGGAGTGTGACGAGACTGGTTCTCTTCGCAGCCAGGGACATAGCTCAGCGCGTGCCCACCTGATATTGGGGACAACTAGCGGAAGCGACCTACGTGCTCATGCAAACGCTAACAAAAATTGTGTTGTTGTTAATTAGTACTCGCTTTAAGGGAGCGGATGTAACTATCAATGATTGTCTTTGGTCTAAACTATAATAGGGACAAACAGTACTTAATAATTCATTAAAAAACCTTTGCATTCGATTAAAAATATGGGTTTTGCAATAACTCTTGTATTAGTGATCTAATGCGACTCCCACGCTCGAAAATACTACAGAGACTTTGTGTGTTTTATTAACGACAATTACGGTTCCTATGTTGCAAGTAGAGTAAATCAATGAGAATCAAACTATTGTTAGTATTAATAATAGAAAAGTGTTATAAGAAATTGTTGTTTCATGTTCTACATCTACACAAGACTCTATAAAAGTTAAAATATATTATTTATATAGTTATTTGCAATAACACTTTTGTAACTTACGAATTTTAATCACGGTGGTCAATGGTGAAATTTTCTTCTGATTTTCGTCCTTGTTATTCTCGTGATCGGTATTGATAATATTTAGGTCCTTATCATTGATGTTTATGTCTATGATAGCGTATGTTTCGCTGGTTTCCATTTTTGATAAAATTTCGCAATTAATTAACTTAAGTATTTCAACGCGTTTCCTTTAACTATTAACATGAATATAAACTTCAATGTAGATACTATCAATTTATATATCGGAAGACTGCCTTAAAAAGTGTACAAAAACGCAGGATCTGTCGTAAAGCGGAGACGCATTACGCAGCTGCTTTAATAAAGGAAACCGATTGTTGAATTTTGATGTAAATGCTTGATAAATTCAGTTAGCTGTTTATAAATTATAATTTTCATATAACGACCAGCGAAGTCGGGCGCGGCGCGTGGCCGACTGCGCGCTCTACTGCCACAACACACTGTTCAAAACTGCGCGCGGGACTCACGAAACCGCGCGTACATTGAATATACTTTATATTACGTCATTCATTAACTACAACCGAATTATACACTAGGCCTATAAAGTGACCCTGTAAAGTAAATTAGGTTAAGTTGTCTACTTAACGTATCAATGATCATCATAGTAGCATCACGAAAAACATAACGAACAAAATAGTAAAAAAATCTGAGACACATTGCTCTCTCAATCGATGGTTTTGAACAGCTTAGCGTTTAGTTGCAGAGCTGCGTGTGGGTTACGGGTTCGATCCTCGTACGAAGCAATCATTTCTAAGGCCTACAAAATGCTGTTTCGGGTCTGGATGTTTGTTCATGGGAAATTTACAGCTATATGACCAGCCCCTTGACTCCAGCCTAACTGATACATTGGGGCTCTTGTTCTTTTGTGGATATCCTCGTTATGAATTTCGTCACGTAGAGAAACTAAGAGTATAGATATATAGCTCAGCACTGCCAGCAGATAAGTAACATATCTTTTTCGGTATCAAGTCATCACTGGCAATACGCACCAATTGTACAGAATCGCAGTTTCCCGAACGCGGCCCAGCCGAGCTGAGTTCGTTGGGTGACCTCTTATTCGAAGTTGGACTTACCTCGTCGAACAATTTGACCTAGTTAAATAAACTCGTCAACAACTACGAGAGTGGTGTTTGTAACAACTAACGTTAGAAATTATATTTGTCGTGTTTGTCTTTTGTTTATATTGGCCGTTAGAAGGCAAGTTTATCGATCTATTGCAAAAAAAACGGGCATCTAGGCATAGAAACAATTTTATTGTTACTATTAGATTGTTTGATAAGTTTAGGTAGCCTTATACTCAGAATTTTGTAAATTAATTAGCAAGGAATAGTTTTCATCAGTTTTATCATAACATTTTGATTAAATAAACGAGAAATAATGTTAAAGTTCAAAGCGCTAGTAATAGTAGTACGTGCTCGCTAAGTAAAACTAAAATACATTTTTTGGTTTGTTTTTTCTTTAATAAAGTAAAAAAAGATAAAAGTTTAAAATAGAGTGTGACCCCCTCTTGCTGAAATCACAGTTTGAATTCGTCTGGGCCTGCTAGCGAATATATCCCATATGGTTTCTTGCGAAATACGTTCCCACTCCGCGGTAATCACATTCTTTAGCTGTCTGATGGTCTACAGAGCCGGCTGCACTGATCTTACTCGTCGCTTTAAAACGACCCAGACATGCTCTATGGGATTTAGGTTGGGACTTTGAGCTGGCCAATCCAAACGACGAATTCCGACCTCTAGCATATACGCTTCCACATCGCCAGACCAGTGGGCACGAGCGTTGTTGAATTTTTGCCAAGAGCGGCCAATGCGGGTTGTGTATTAGAAATTAGAACTTCCGTTATGTATGGTGTCCAGTCAGTGTACCGTTTTAAATGAAGACTAACTTCGTTCGATCCAACAAGTTCATTCCTACCCAACACAAAACCATGCCCCCATCCTCGCATTCGTAGCACTCGCCGACGTCGGTCTTCACCGTAAAAAGATATCCTGGCTTCATTGGGGAACAATACCCTATCCCAGTGTTCTTGAGTCCATGACACTCAATTTCGAGTAAAGCTAAACCTGGCAACTTGATGCTCACCGAAACAGAAACAGAAACTTTTTTATTCAATATAGATTAGATATAAATAATACTTATTGATAATACTTATTGAAAGTCACTCTTTTGTTTAATTACCACTGGTTCGAAGAAAAAACCTCTGTCCTGGGAAGAACAAGCAAGAAACCCAGAGGGATTTTTTTAAAATAACAGCTTACAACGCACAGCCTAGACGGCTCCGTGGCGCAGTGGATTAGCAATCAGTTGTTGCGCTGGGGGCCGTGGGTTCGAATCCCGCACGGAACAAGTATTTGTATGGCCTACAAATAATTGTTCCGGGTCTGGATGTTTGTCCTTGTGCAATTTATGTTTGTAAACTGCCTCCACGACACAGGAGAAAATCCTAGTGTGGGGGTAACGTTATTTTAAAAAAAATAAAAAAATCATGTATGTTACACAAATTAACAACACAACAAATATATAATAATAAAAATAGCTTGGTAGCGATCACCTCATTTCCAGGGGTTATTATGATCCATAAATTCTTTAATATTATAATAACCCTTTTTATACAAACTTAGTTTTATAAAGTTTTTGAACTTTGAGCAGGTCAAGTTTTGTATATTTTCTGGAATTTTGTTGTAAAAGCGTATACATCGCCCCAAGAATGAATTACTGACTCGATGGAGTCGAGTAACTGAAACTACTAGCTTGTGTCTGTTCCTAGTATTTACAGAATGAATATCACTTATTTTTGTAAAACTACTTTTATTTTTGTGTACGTACATTACATTATTACGTATTGAGAGGCCAATGTTAATATATTAATTTCCTTAAATTTTTGTCGCAGCGACTCTTTAGGCTTTAAATCATAAATTGCTCTTATGGCCCTCTTCTGTAAAACAAATATAATTTCAGTGTCAGTTGCGTGTCCCCATAGCAAAATACCATACGACATTATGCTATGAAAATAGCTAAAGTAAGCTAGTCTAGCTGTTTCAACACTGGTAAGACTTGTAATCTTTTTTACAGCATATGCTGCAGAACTAAGTCTGCTTGCTAGTTTTGATATATGGGGGCTCCATTGAAGCTTCGCGTCTAGTGTAATTTCGAGAAAAATGGTGGTCTCTACAAGACTCAGTTTCTCCCCATTTAAAATTACATTAGTATTTAATTGTTTGATATTTGGAGTCATGAATTTCATACATTTCGTTTTAGTGCCATTTAAATGCAAATTATTAACACTGAACCAATTTACTAATTTAGATATAGCATTATTTACTTCGTCATATTTTAGTAATTGTAATTTGGAAACTAAAGAAGTGTCATCTGCAAATAATACTATATCATGGTTATCCCCTACTATGTAAAGTAAGTCATTAATGTATACAAAAAACAGAAAGGGGCCGAGAATTGAGCCTTGAGGCACGCCCATTTGTACCATCGACCCGGAAGAGCTCATACTGTTAATGACAACTTTTATCGTTCTCTTACTTAAATATGAAATAATTAACTTAAGAGCATCACTTCTTACCCCGAGTAATGTAGGGCCGCGTACTGGGCGACGACGGCGTATATTGGAAGCGAGAAACCTCCTGACCTTTCTCAAAGAAGGTACAATATGCGGCCTTATAGCTCTTGAAGCGATTTCTTCCAACGCCCATGCACGGCCAAGGGTAATATTGAAAACATTGCTATTTTTATAGATATATATCTATACGTAGAAATAAAGTTGAAGTGTCTGGCTGTAAGATCGGAATAAGCTGAAGGGGTTATTTGCGTGCAGTTAAGACATGAATCACCATTTTTAAAATTTTTGCTTCTCTGTTAATAAGTGAGAAGATTAAATACTTGAATCGTTGCTATTGAGCTCGCCTACAATGGAGACCTCGTATTGAAACTTCGGCAAGGAGACTAGTTCCGTTTAGAATGCAGCTAAAAATTAAGCATATTAACGTATGTATAAATATGTGTTTGCTGTACAAAGATGATTTCAGCTATTTCGACAGTGTTATTATTTCATATTATTTCGAAAAATATTCTGTCGCGGCCCTACTTACACGCGTGAGAAAACAATGATCAGTAATTTATACGTAATCACAGCAATGCGCGTGAATGCGTGCGAGACCATAAATTAGGCTTGGGCAAAAAATATCGATATATCGAAATATCAATATTTTTTTATAAAACATCGATATATATCGTCAATATTTTAAATCACGATATATCGATATTTATTATAGAGTTACGAATTCGTAACAATTTCGATATATTTTAAAATGCTGTATTAATGACAAAACGTGTAACAACAAAAGGAGGTAGGAGGTTGATTGTCGTTTTTGTTTCGTCGTCCAACCGTCAGTAATATAAAATTTTGGACCTTATCTTTACATCGTGTAATGATGACGATATATCGCTATATCGTTATTTATCACGCGTTATATATATCGATACTGTTTAAAAATATCGATTCGATATATATCGATATATTTTTTCCCTTGCCCATCCCTACCATAGATAAGCTCACGAGACTGCCCTATATAGTATATTATCTATGCGCGAGACTAAGCTGTAAGGTAGGGTTGGGTTGGGTATATGTAAAGTTGGGTCTTTTATTAGGTAGTAGGCATCCACTAAAAACAGAATTTTTGAAAATTCAACCTCATAGAAGGCGAAATGTAATGAAATAGGTTGTTATATATTATATAAATGTTTTTAATTTTACAGGGCGATTCACTTGAAACTTTCTGAAATAAATGGAATAAAACTACTTTTACGGATTAACTTATTTTATATTCCCGACGTTTAGGGTTGCTTTCCAGCAACCATGGTCACGGAGGACTGAAAGCAACCGAAACGTCGGGAATATAAAATAAGTTAATTAAACGCGAAGCAGACCAAGTTTGTGTATGGTAGATGTTTAGGCAAAATATTAACCATTTGAAATTGTATTATTAACGCACGCTAATAGCCTAGCATCGTATCGAGGTCACATCCCCCCCGCGCTGACATTCCATTCGAGCGGTGTCGACTGGACAAGTCGAGGCAATTCATTATAAAAATCGGTCGATTGTAATGGAC